TCTCACAATTTGAAAGTATAATGCTTTTATGTATGTGGTGTGTATATATATAGAGAGACTGTGGGGAAAAAGAATATGTTATCTTTTGTGACAGTAGAATGGGACATACACTACATGAAATTAGAAAAAGCAACCACATTTTATTGTAAGTAAAAAGTTGTACCGATAAACCTATTTTTTTTTTCGTGTTAAACGAAGCTTTAAATTAGTAGATAGATTATATTCGACTTTCTAATTATATCGATTGATTTTACGGAGAAGATGAAGGAGGAGGAGGATCATGGATTGGTGATTGTGCAAGTACTCATGTGTCGGACGCATTTATGATCCGAATCTTTTCGGAATAATTATATTGACGAAAAACGGTGATTAATTTAATTAGCAAGAAAAAAACACCATCAATGATATCGGACGAAGTCGGGCCGGGCCACGTAAACATGTCTTCCATGTGGAAAAAAAAAACAACTACACAGAGATTGAGCTAGATAGATAAGAATCAACTCTCATTTTCATGACTTAGTCTTCTTTTCTTGTTTGTACATTTTGATCATCTTCCAAAGTACTAAATAATTCGAACTCCTTTGTTGTCACATACAAAAGTTGTCCCACTATGCTTAGATTCATAATTTTTAGTACCAACCTAGACCACATGTATTATATATATATATATATATATATATATATATATATATATATATATATATATATATATATATATATATATATATAAGCCATGATATATACAAGACATAAACTTCTTGATTCAATAAGACGAAAGCTCTAGAAAAGAACGACCACACGCGCTGGTGGTGAAAGGCCTAATCCGAGGAATAGTTTAGCGCAGACGACGTGTCTCTATCGTTGACGGAATTTAACGATCAAACTCTATTATCTAATTTCGTGTGTGTGCGTGTGTGTGTATATATATGTATATATATGTATATATATTCAGATTATTAGTGGAAGACCATCTTCACTAATGTTAACTTTTGTCAGCACACAGAGGATGTCAAGAGAGTAACATCACAAGATTGCAGGATCAAAGAGATGGTCCACCTAAGCATATCTTGTCACTTCATGCACATTTTATAATTAATAATTTGGTATTTTTTTCATTTTTTAATTATTATTTGTTATTATTAATTACTCGTGAAATTATTTTTTCTTGAATATTATTAGAATGAAATATTGTTGCCTTGTGGCTAGAATGTCTAGCTAGATGCCCTACCAATAACTCCAAAGGTGTACCTTTCACATGTGTACCTAGATAAGACCTTGATTAAAAATAAAAATTAATAATATTTGAGGTGATTATAACTTTAGTACTAGAAATGACATGAAAAATGCTTATGCCAAACAAGAAACGAACTCGAACGAGTGGACGGGCCCGTATTTTGTCTCCCCGTTTCTTTACCTAAACGTCGTTTTAATACGGATCAAGTGATCAACGGACCTAATTAAGCCCATTTTCAAATGTGCAAATGTTCAATCTTCGAAATCTCCGAAATCTTCAAATCTTGTTTCTTTTATCGACGAAATGTGCGAAAATGGCATTTACCACCTGTTGATCTTGCTCCAAGTGGGAAATGCATGGATTTACGGGTCCTGTTTGAACTCGATCTTATATATTATTAAATCGGACTTCGTTTACTAGTAGCTTTAGTTGCGCTGACGTTGCATATTATGATGTGAACTATTGCGAAAGATAATTATCCAACATATTATGATTCACTGAGCAACATATTTAAATAAATAAATTCATTTTTTTCTAGAATTATTTTATCCAAATTAACAAATTAAAAAAAAAAAAAAAGAAAAGAAAAAGATGCAAGTAAAATAAACAAAAGTGAGGACTGAGGTTGCAATTTTGAAGAAATTGGGGGTTAACAGTCCATTAGTGTATAGTATAGTACTCTTCTCTTAAATTTTGCAAGTTTTATTGATAAAGTTAGGCAACCGGGTGGACAGGTTGCCGGTTCAAACCATTTTTCCTCACATGCGGCTGCAATTTTAAAGGAATTCTCCTAATTTCAAACCCTTCCTCCTTTTTTTCTGCCTCTCTCTCTCTCCTCTCTCTCTCACACACACACACACACACACAGGTACGCTCGTATCGTTTTGTGTGCGTATAGATGCTTGTTTGTATGTATTTTAACACTTTCGTTGTTCGTGAGCTGTAATCACTCGATTGTTTTTGGTTGATCGGGTTTTGGTTTGATATTTTTGCAGGAACGATGTCGTTGAGGCCGGGCGCTAGGGCGGAGGTGCGGCGGAGCCGATACAAAGTGGCGGTTGACGCCGATGAGGGGCGTAGAAGGAGGGAGGATAATATGGTGGAGATCCGTAAGAACAAACGCGAGGAGAGCTTGCTTAAGAAGCGTAGAGAAGGTGTTCAACAGCCGCAGCAATTCTCCGCCTCTCTTCAATCCTCTCCGCTCGAGAAAAAGGTCGATTTCTTTTTGCAATATCTATAGGAAATGGTTCTCGTTTTTCGCTTAGTTCGAATTTTTTGTTTGATGAGTCTGTGATTGTGAAATAGGTTTTGCTTAGTTCGAATTGCATCTGTGTAGTATATTGTATACAGTAATTGTATATATTGAGTTACATCGCATCTTTCCATTTGTTCGATAATAATTACTGATTAGAGTGTTGTATTCTAGCTGATTTGATTGGAATTTGTTGGTTGGATTTTGTTTATGCTTAGTTTGAATCCTTTTCAATTAGTGTATATGATGGGGCATATTGTTGTAATGGAATGAGGGGATTCTCTTAGTTGACAGTTTTAAATCTTGTCTAAAGAGTAGAATATATATAATTGAGTTTTGCGTGACTTAAATTTAACATTTCGCCGTTTGTGTATTCTTATGGATGTTGGTGTGAATTTAAGTAAATGTCTAATCCTGTTCTTTATTTGTGAGCATCTGTGCGTCTTTTTGCATAAGAAGGTGGTATTTATAGGATATGGAATTACTAAATGTAGTTTTTAATGTTTTAAACTTTTTCTTTTGATAATCAGTTTATTTTAGCTAGTTGTACTTCTGTTAGAGGTATATATTAGTCATATGGTTTGGGTTTTTTATTCCATTTTTTTCTATTATGGAGAACAATAGCTTTTAATTTGTATGCAGTTGGAGAGTCTTCCTTCTATGGTTAATGGGGTTTGGTCACCTGATGCCGGTTTGCAGCTGGAAGCGACCACACAGTTTCGCAAGTTGCTTTCAATTGGTAAGACTTGCAGTCTCATTAAATTATATTGAACTTTTATATGTATGTTTATGTCATGATGATCTTCTAATTATGATCCTCGAATTGAATTAACAGAAAGAAGCCCTCCTATTGAAGAAGTAATACAAGCAGGTGTTATTCCTAAATTTGTTGAGTTCCTAATGAGAGAGGATTTCCCCCAGCTCCAGGTTTGAATCTCTGTCAAGGCTTGGTATAAAATAGTTAAGAGTTATTTTCTGTTTGTCTTTTGCTTAACGAATGGAGTTTACAGTTTGAGGCTGCTTGGGCACTCACTAATATCGCATCTGGTACGTCGGAGAACACCAGGGTGGTTATTGATCATGGGGCAGTCCCCATTTTTGTGAAGCTTCTGGGTTCACCCAGTGATGATGTTCGTGAACAGGTATTATTTTTTATATAAACCTCATAATTTATGTACTCTCGTGCTGTAATGGATTGTTCTTTTGCTAATTATTTTTCTGAACTATAGGCTGTGTGGGCATTGGGTAATGTTGCTGGCGATTCTCCCAATTGCCGTGACCTTGTTCTTGGTTGTGGAGCCTTGGTTCCTTTGCTTGCTCAGTTGAATGAGAATGCAAAGCTATCAATGCTGAGAAATGCCACCTGGACTTTGTCAAACTTCTGCAGAGGCAAGCCACAGCCTCCTTTTGAGCAGGTATTGGTTTTTATCTTCATATTTGTTTGGAGAATATTGTTTATAATTTTTTTTATGGATGGCATTATTCACTTTTTGCAATGAAATAACTATGTCAGGTAAGACCAGCACTTCCAGCCCTTCAGCGTCTTGTTTGTTCCAACGACGAAGAGGTACTTACAGATGCTTGCTGGGCTCTCTCATACCTATCTGACGGTACAAACGACAAAATTCAAGCTGTTATCGAGGCTGGTATCTGTCAACGACTTGTTGAGCTCCTCCTGTAAGTGTCATCTTGAATAGTTATTTGATTGATCATTGTACTTCTCTTTAGATATAAATTGCATTTACATTACGTATCTTATGTTTCAGTCATCCCTCTCCTTCGGTGCTTATTCCGGCATTACGTACAGTTGGAAATATCGTGACTGGTGACGATGTTCAAACTCAGGTATTTTCTTCCGTGCTGCTGTTGGTTCCAAAACGATTCTTGTTTTATTAGATATTAGCTCTTTGCTGGAATCCTGGATTGTTTGGTATCTAGTCTAGGTGAAGAATTTATAATTGAAAGAATACAACTATTTGCTCTTTGACGACATTTTTTGTATTCCAGTGTATCATCGATCATGGTGCACTTCCTTGCCTGTTAAGCATGTTAGTACACCACCATAAAAAGAGCATCAAGAAAGAAGCCTGCTGGACGATTTCAAACATCACTGCTGGAAACAAAGAACAAATACAGGTATGAATGTGAGACTTTACAATTGATGGTTTCCAAGTCCGAATTTATGATGTCTTCTGAATCTTTATTATGTGTTTTTCTGGATAAATTTTTTTTTTAATGAATTATAACCGGTGTTCAGTACCCTATTCCCTTTTATTTGATCTTTGTCTCGGTCATGCTAATTGGGTACACTTTGCATGACAGGCTATAATTGATGCTGGCTTGATTGGTCCCTTGATCAATCTGCTTCAGTCTGCAGAATTTGATATCAAGAAAGAGGCAGCATGGGCTCTTTCAAATGCCACTTCTGGAGGATCCAATGAGCAAATATCGTACGTTTGTTTTCTCACATGTGTGTCAAATGTCAATTAAATCTGCTTTTGTTTGTGACTATTTTCATTCTTTCTTGCAGGTACCTGGTGAGTCAGAACTGTATAAAGCCTTTGTGCGATCTCCTTGTTTGCCCCGATCCAAGAATTGTCACTGTGTGTTTAGAGGGGCTAGAAAACGTACTGAAAGTCGGGGAGGCACAGAAGGCTAGTACTGCAGATGTCAATTACTTCGCCCAATTGATAGATGAAGCAGAGGGATTGGAAAAGATTGAGAACTTGCAGAGCCACGACAACAGTGAAATCTACGAGAAGGCTGTGAAAATACTGGAGACTTACTGGCTAGAGGAGGATGACGAGACATTGCCTGCAGATGATGGGACCCACACTGGATTTAACTTTGGGGGAAACAGTGTTCAACTTCCGCAAGGTGGATTCAGTTTTAGCTGAAGGTTAGTTACTTAGTTCTCTTATCTCTTCCATATTCCTCCAATTATATCAGACTAAAATGCTTCAGGATTCAATTTTTTTATTTCTTTATTTTTTTTTAATTCCTTCAGGATTTTCAGTAAGGTGGGGGATGAAGCAGTTTCTTTACTTGGTATTGATACACTGATGATTTGGTCATAGTCTGGATGGGTCAAGTCGGGTCTGGTTGGGTCAAGTCGGGTTTGGTCGGGTCGGGTCGGGTCAAGTTGCAGCGCCTCGGTTGGGTTTGATGAGTCGGTTGTGGTCAAGGAGGTGCCTAGTAAATTGGGGTCAGTCATGTGCTGTTGAGTCAATAAGCAGGACTATGAGTTCAGCATGGGTTTGGGTCGGGTCGGGGTCGGGTTTTGTGTTGAGGGAAATCCTACAGGAAATGATTTTCATTTTCCAACTATATAGGATTGGGATTGCAGTCTTTTTTTTTTTTTAATTCGTCTATTTCAGTTGTTTTTGGTAGGTTTCGCATGCATGCTTTATATTTGATGATTGAACAGAAGAGTTTTTAGTTCTTTGAAGACTTATATTAATTCATACTTGCAAAAGGTTTTTTGAGTTGTATTTTGTGTTTGTATTTCTTAATAATAATTCAGTGGTGTAGGGTTATATATATCTACATGGGGACCCACAACCTAATCATTTAGATTAGGATTAATGTGTCCAGTTGTATTTCAACTATTAAATCAAGTAAACATATATCAAGTTGTGTGCAGACAGGTCTACATCTTAAAGTAAGATGGATTACTAAACCAGCTTTCTAAGCCACAAATAAAGATATTTATTTGAATTAGTGGAAATAGAAATGAAATGCTTTCCCCCACTTGCTATATTATTATTGCCTCCTTAATGCTCGTCTGTGCTACTAGTGTTGCAAACAAAAAGTTATAGCCTCACATGTTTATCTTTCTTAATAACTTGATTGTTTAAGTTAAGTGTACACACTTAATTACCAAGTCAAATTCCAATGTAACACGTAGTTGACCCGACCCTGATGAATTTAATTGTTTTATACTCGTATAACATGTGTAGCACTAGCCTCTCGCCTCCTACGCGCATATGTATTTGCATTACATGTTCTCCTCTTCCCTTTTTTTTTTTTTTTTGGACTAATAATTTAATTTTGGCACGCATGAGCATGCTAGTATTTTTATTGAATTTAAGACCATTTTCCCATGCTCAATTTGGCATCAAGAATAATACTGTCTGTGAGTAGTAGTTGAAGCCGACACCTTGGGATAATAGTATCTTTATAGAAATCTATTTAAATTAAATAACCAGGGAAACTGGTTGGCATGAATGTAGAAGAAAGTCATACTAATATTTTTATATACCCTCCCAAGCCAACTACGTTACAGTAAATGAAATCTTGTGAGTTTGCCCAATCAATTTATATTTCTGGTGGAGCCTAATTAATGTCTGTGATTCAACCATAAAAACAACCCCCCCTTCTTCTCATTCCTCGAAAAAAAAAAATATGAAGAACCATCTGTTCTCGAGTGATGAAGAGCAGAATGGAGGGCGAAGATCAGCGTATTCGTGGTGGAGGACGGCCGATGAATTCGACGAAAACGGGCATTTCAAGATTGACGTTTCGGAATTCTCGAATCTAACTCCAAGATACAAAATACTCAGAGAAATGGAGAGGTTGGCTTTCATTGCTACTGATGGTCTTGATGATCTGAGGCACAAGCTTCTCAGTTACAGGGCTGGTGATTTCTGGCTCCCTATTGGTGGACTTAAGAAAGAAGATATGGACATCCCGCCAGTTGTCACCATCCTATTGGCTGGCCTCACTGCTTCTGGTAAAAGCTCCTTCACCAACTTGATGTACAGTGTTCTTGGCAGATCTGGCCTCATCCCTTTTGCTCAAACTTCAGGTACCTACATACTTCTATGATCTAAGCCGATAAGCAAAAAACATAATAATATTGATTCATAATTGTAATTTTTCGAAAAAATCGTAATTTTTCGAAAAAATCGTAATTTTCGGAAAAAAAACATTTGGATACTAAAATTGGATCGAGAATCGGGATTTAATGTGTAGTGCAAATTTTTTTTCCTAATAAATCAGAAAAATCGGAAATTGAACTTTCCGGAACAAAAAAATAAATGAATTTAAAATCGGCAGAATTTGGAAATTTACGTCTCAATTCGAATCCCCACCCCTACTTTTGCATGTAGGTTCATGTCTATAGTTTTATTCACATTTGAAAGAAAAAAAAATATTGATGTAGGTGAATCATCAAATTACACAACAATGTTTCTTGAAGAGCACAATGTTTTGAGATCTCCTAGAAGCGGATTATGCGTGTACGATACGAGGGGTTTGGACAAGGATGAAATGGAGGAAGGTTTGGACGAGGTTTCCACATGGATGTCGGTCGGAGTCAGACACAACCAGCCATGTCACCGACCGGGTGACGGCGATAAAAGTCAACTTTCCGATGAGTTGACTAATTCGAGGTACTTGAGGAGAAAAGTCAACTGCGTGATGGTTGTGGCTGATCTGTCACAAATTCACAGGTCCTTCAAATGTGGCGATTTGAACTCGATGGAGGCCTTAAGGGATCTCTTCCACTTGTCTGCTGTCAAGAATTCGAGTAAGTACTTTTGAGTTTTGTGCTGGGGTGGAAATTGGAACGAAATTTCCGAATTCCACCGATTCTGATTCGAAAAGTTTCATTTTTGGAACAAGTTTTTTCTTTCCGATATTTTTGGGAACGGAATTGGAATACATATTACATTCTTATTTCCGACCCGATTTCATTTCCAAAAACATTTCAAAAAATTCCTATTATTTTACACTTGTAATATCAACATTACTATATATTTTATACTATAGTTGACTACAATTTTTTTTTTCCGATTTGAAAAATTCCGATTTCGATACAAGTTTTTTCATTCGAATTTTCCGATTTTTCCGATGCTTTTTGTAACGGAAAAAGAATTAGTTTTTTCACTTCCGAAAAAAATTGATTCCGATTTCCACCCTAGTTTTCAGACATAATAATGTCGTTATTTTCAAACAGATGAGAATCCAATCTTGATTCTAACGCACGGAGACAAACTAAATGCTGAAGAAAGGATTAATGGGAGATTAAGAATCTGTGAATATTTAGGAATACCTGAAACAAGTGGTGCATATGACATACCGTGTATGACAGAGCAGGGGATTATGGCTGAAGAATCTGATCCAGTTACTGCTTTTTCTCTTACAGAAGCTGTTTACAGAGCTTTACTCCAATCTGACAGAACTCATCTCCCCAAGAAAAAGTTTAAGGATTGGTTAATCTTTTTTTGTAAGTGGATTATGTGGTGCATTGCTTGCTTGTTTGTCATTCTTGCTAATTTCTTCTCCAAATTTGGTCATCACAACAAGAAACTCAAGATGTGAGCTTCCTTCTTAGCTATGTTGAAAACGTCGAAAAAAATGTATATTAGATATATATATGTGTGTGTGTGTGTGTTATACAGTGTGTGCAATTTGTGTTTGAAACCATCTCCTTTTGCCTTTGTTTATGTAGTTTCTTGATCTTTTTTAATTCTTTTTCTTTGTATTATATGATTTTTATCTATGTATTAATTTAACTTTTGATATTCATTGCTCAGCAATAATGTGTGATTTGGAAATTATTCATTTTTTTGTAGACATAATAATGTAATTAAGTGTCAGATTCTCAATTTTTTTTTTAGATTACATGTTTCCTATTTATTTGTTTTTATTCTTTAATCAAATTGCATGTTTCCTATTCACTATCATGCTCATTATTATCTTTCTGCATGTAGATTTTGTGTGTATATTATTAAGTACTATATGGGAAATTAAAGTTATCGTAATGGACATTGTTTGGTAAAAATTTAGACCGTTTGAAATTATAATCGGCAACAGATTTGAAGCCACGCAACCTTAAGTGCCGCCAATTGTACATAGCCTATGAGAGGATCATGGTTTTTGTGTGATCGAATCTCTCTTTGAGTTCTTACCATATTTCAGATGGCCTTTCTAATTGTAGATACTCGTCTTTCAAATCATCAAAAAGATGATGACGCATAAAAAAACATTGCATTCGCCTCATAGATACAAAACTTGAATTTTTCCTTCTTCGATTCATGTGACGATAGGAATTAGGGCCACAATATAATTTTAGTGGACTATAATTTATTACAATCAAAGAATTGGGCCAAAGCCCAATATTCAAATGAAAGACCTAATTTACTTGTACAAGAAAAATAAATTATTTTATTTAAATAAAATAATTTGGTAAGGATATATGTTAGCTAGGTTTGGAAAAGAAAGGAGTAAACTGCAAAAACTACCCCTGTGTAATCCCAAAATAGCAAAAACCCCCCTGTGATAAATAAACTAGCAAAAACCCCCCTGTGAAATTATTTAAATAGCAAAAACCCCCCTATGGAACTATTTGAGGGTTGACTTGATATAAAAAGACACAAATACCCCTGGAGTCTTGCAATTAATAAATTCTTATATTTTATAAATATTTTAATTATTTTATTTAAAAAATAATCAATTTAGTTGTTTACTATTTTTTTTTAATTTCTAAACAAATAAATTAAAAAGAATAAATATACATATAATATGTATATATATAAATACATTTTGAGGGTCAATTTTGTCATTTCAAGTCTAAAAAATCAGCTAGGGGGGATTCTGCCTTTGACTAAATTTCACAGGGGGGTTTTTGCTAGTTTATTTATCACAGGGGGGTTTTTGCTATTTCGAGATAACACAGGGGTAGTTTTTGCAGTTTACTCGAAAAGAAAGTATGCAATTGCTGTATGGGGGTGTGAGTTGGAATTTCAAGGCAGTGTGAGTAGTGAGTGGTCCTCTGTTTTTTATTTTGATTTTGTCTTCTCTCACTAACCAACAAAATTGTTTCACGACCCATCCATTTCATTCATTTGCTGTCTTCATAATATCTACCAAATATTTGTCCCTCCTTTTCTTTAATTTTATTATTATTCTCAACTATTCATATATTTATTCAATTTCTATTTCAAAATACACCTAACAAATATGTTTCATACCCTTCATTAAATATTTATTCAACACCTGATAAGTTGTTTTGACTTTTAAGAGCTGATAAGCTTTTACGTCTTGTTTTTATAATTAAATTTTTAAAATACTCGGATAACAAGCTTATGAGCTATTTACTGCCTATAGTGTATATATACACATATATTATGACCTAATATTTTCAAATATAATTTATTATTGATAACACGTTGTTATATATGAAGATAATCTCAAGAACTTGTTTTATATATATATACACACACTTTAAAAAAAGAATTCTTGTGGTTTTCTAGTGATCTACTTGGATAGTGGAAAGCCACTCATGAAATTGATTTTAGCTTTCTTTTTCATTAGATTTTACTTCACAAATCCAATTAAATTTATTTTTTGGCATCTATAGTTCAAATTGAGAGTAAGTACAAGAATAAAAGATTTTGCCAATATATTCATTTTGTACCTAAGTAACAATATATTCTTCTTGCTAAAACATGCCATTTAATCCAAAAAAATATATATTATTCCAATTTATATTTCCAATTATTCAATTAATTATAAATTAGAAAAAAAAAATAAAAAAAAAATGTAGTAGGTGATGTCACGAGCATGCCCTAACCACCAATTTTGAAATGGATAGTGAAGTACAAGGTAGTTCGTTAGAATTACTACAAACTGTACAAAACCGTATTATTTATGGAAAAAACATTTACTTATTGTTTCAATCAGATGATGTACTTTTAAAAGCGTGCTTTACCTTTTCCCTTCTTCGTCTTTTTTTTTTTTTTTTTTTAATTTTAGTAGGATTATTCTTATTTTTATATTTTAATATCCAAAATTTTGATTTTTTAATTTTTTTTTGAAAGTTCAATTTATTTTCTTGTAAAAATTAAGCCGATTGAATCATACGAGATTTTCCGATTTCGGATTAATTTTGTTTATTCCGTTTTTTTTCGAAAAAAATTAGTTTTTATTTTCGAAAAATAAAAACAAATTTTTGATTTAATAAAAGTTTGTAGTCAAGTAGTCAACTCGCCCCACACACCAGAATATCTGTATACCTAGTTGGTCAAGAAATTCAGGTGCATAAATAAATATTGAAAATATATTCCACATTTAATTTCATTCCCCGTCGGTCGGTCGCCGTCGTGCAGCCTAGGTGGCATGGCACCACCACCGGCTGACACAAATGGCCGGAGATTCCTCATTTTTCACTTTTTCCTTAACCGTTTAATTTATTTATTATATGTAAGAAAAAATGTTAAATTTGAATATGTAAAAGAATCTATAAGAGTAATTATTATAATATTCCATAGACGCACGTATGTTTCATAATTTAGTTGAAAGGTGAAAATTCGACTGCCCAATTCCAACTTTACAGATTGCTTATAATAGTAAGGGTAAATTACAAACACCCCCTGAGGTATGGTCAAATTACAAAAACACCCCTCTTGTTTGGATAATTACAACCACCCCCTCAGCTCTTCAAATTTAGTGGAATCTTCGAGATTATATGAAATATTATCACTTTTGTACCCGTTTTATACCATTCAAACTCTACATTATGAAGTAAGATGATCATAATATGTGTTTTTTAGCTTGTGTATATCAGTTTGTAGTGCATCGGAAACGTATTTTTACACAAAACGAATACAAACTAGAGCACATTCCACGGAATCTAGATGATTATATTGAATTTGGCACAATAAGGGTGGAGGTGTAAGAAAAAATCATAGTTGAGGGGGGTAGATATAATTATCCAAACAAGAGGGGGGTTTTTGTAATTTGACCATACATCAGGGGTGTTTGTAATTTACCCTAATAGTAAAGCACTTAATATATATATTTTTTCAATGATGATTGGTATCTCAAATTAATTGATTTACATTTTTATTTTCTCTCTTAAATATGCTTAAGTGAAGTTTAAATATTTAATAATCCCATCTTATGAAAATGGTTTGTAATAAATTTCTCCACTTGCCCTACTTAAAGATTAATGAACAAGAGATAATCTAACGGTTAGAGCCAGTGAACCTATATCAATTGATCTATGTTCAATTTCTTTTTTGTCAACGTTCGTTGGGTGAAGATTAATATCATAGATGGTTAGCCTAGTGTGGTTTGCGTCTCTCGTGTAATTTACAAGTTATTATACGAGAATATAAGTTTACCCAGTGCATCTATATAGTTCGATGCGAGTTTCTTTATTATGAAAAAAAAAACAGATTCACGTACAAGTCCCGGCCCCGCAAGGGATGACCTAGCGGTCAGAGCAAGTGAGCCCGTGTTAATTGACCCAGTGTTTAAATTTTCTTGCTAACGATCTAGGTGAAACTTGTCACACATGGTCAACCTAATATGGTTTATTTCTCTCGTATAATTTACAAACTATTATCCGGAAGTATATATTTGTTATACACTTCACTAGTTCACTGCCAGTTTTTTCAATTAAAAAAGAAATAATAAAAAAAAAAAAATCACGCACCAGTAGCCAATTTGCTTTGACCAAATAAAGAACACTTTAAACCTCCATTCTTCAAAAAAAATATATTATAAAAATATTACCACGCACTAAAGTGTGTATCTGCGTGTGAAACAACCCTAAAAAAAAAGAAGCCCTTCCGCTATGGCGGCAAACACCAAAAACATATTTACAATAAAATTCCGAAAAGGACCCTAAAAAAAGAAATTCCCCGTGGCGCCTTTTCTGCCAAATAATTTTGGCGGGGTCAAAAAGAAGTTTTGGAACCGAGGCCCCTTTTCGTCTTTTCACACCCATGCGCGCCTTAGGGTTTTTCATAAACTTTATATATAAATTCCCCCAACAAATTAATTTTCTCAATCGCCCCCCAATTTCTCTACTTTCTCTCTCTAGAAAAAAGCTCTCAGCGGTCCATTCTCAAATCTTACCCAAATTCCTCTTCCACCCTAAACCCCGCCTCCTCTTTCCGTTTCTCTCTCTGCATCTACATCAGCACTTCTAGAGAGAGAAAGCTCTACTTGTAGTTTAGGGTTTTTTTGCTCAGTTCACTCACTTCACTCAGTTTGAACTCTGATCGGAGTTTCTCCTTTTCTAGGGTGTATTTTCATCTGGATTTTAGTTCAATCTTACTAGATTCGGCTTCGATCAGGCGTTTCTTACTTCAAAGTTTTGGTTTTTTTACATCGATTAGTCGAGCAGTTCAATCTGGGTTTCGTGCGTCAGATCTTCGATTAAAGGCTCGCATATGATGGATCTGAGTGATAAAGTAAGTGATCGCGATCACAATCATTTTATTTTTCGTTCCTGCAAATTTTTTTTAGGGTTTCATGATCGAGGTTAAGCTTGATTTGAACTTGATTAGGGCTTCGGTAATCATGTTTAGTTTAAGCTAATTAATTTTTTTGGGGGTTGTGCTTTGTTAACAGGGCTCCGAGTGTGAAGATATGAGTAGCCCTACACCAACCCCTGATAGGGTTTCATCCGACGGTTCAAATGTCAAGACGTGTGTTGATTGCGGTACCTCCAAAACCCCTCTCTGGAGAGGCGGTCCAGCTGGACCCAAGGTATATTTAATTTTTAATTTATTATTAATTATTTATATATATGTTTTTACACACAGTGGGACGTATTGTGTGTGTAGATCTTGTGTACTTATTAATTGCATCTTTTAATAACTCACGTGACATATCTGTGTTTGACAAATGTTGTTTAGGACCCATTTAATTTGATTGATTCCTTTTTTTCTTTTCAATGATTTGATTGGCACAAAACATTTAATTTTAAATTTAATTATTTTAATTTCTTGATGTGCTGCAGTCACTATGCAATGCATGTGGGATTAGGAGCAGAAAGAAGAGAAGGGCACTAATGGGTGTAACAAAAGAAGAAAAAAAGACCAAAAAAACATCAATTGTGAAAAACAACAACCAAAGCAACAGCAGTAACAGTTGTACCAGCAGCAGTGGTGATAGTACCACCAAAATTGGGGAATCAATAATAAAAAAGAAATTGTGGGTTTTCGGTAGAGACGTAGCGTTGCAGAGACCAAGATCAAACACTACTCGGAGAAGAAAATGGGGAGAGGAAGAACAACAAGCTGCTTATCTTTTAATGGCTTTATCTTGTGGCTCTGTTTATGCATAGGACCTTTTTTTTTTAATTTTTTTTTGTACTTTGTGCACTAGTGGTTGTACCTCTCTTTTTCTTCCTTCTTCCCCCAACCCTAATTTCAAGAAAGAGGAGTAAAGAGCTCTAATGGGGTTTTCTTCCTTCTTTCTTTTCTCTAATTCCCACCTTTTTGTGAGCATAAATGAAATTTCTTTCATTTTAATTTCTAACATTGATTATTCTTTTTGTCCTAATTTAGTACAATCATGAGAGCAATCATTAAACAAACATGCAATGATTGGTGAAATCTTGAGCCTTGCATGATTTTCTTGCACAAATATATGTTTTATGGTGAAAGATTCAAATTTTATAATAGCAAATTTATTGAATTTGGTTTGATGGATTCATTCTACAGTGAAAATATAAACCTAATTGAGGAGAATTAGGGGTTTTTGACCTAAATCTTTGAGTATATATGAAAGATAATTGTGTAATGGTTACACTAGTGGAATGAGTAAGAAATAATCCTAAGTTTGATGAGTTGTTATCCTCTAGTATGAGGACCATGGAGTGTAAAAATTTCTATTATGTATCTCTTGTTTATCTTGATGCAAGATTGGAGGGAAAATGTTTGGACCAAATTTGTGTAGAGGGAAAACTTTTTGGTCCTCACAAATTTGATCTCCATTCTTCCCTCCCAAAATTGTCACAACACTTAGCTGTCCCACCTATACTTCCCTCCATTTTTAAATCATTTCAATTTATTTTTTAAATCAACCAATAAGATTTTGTATTATATCACGTGTCATTGACTATGATTAAGATTTGCTAATTATGTACAATCATAATCAAGAACTAACATATATTATTCGTTCCGCAAGGGATGATCTAGCAGTTAGAGCAAATGAACTTGTGTCAATTGCCCCTCGTTTGAATACTCTTGTCAACGGATGCTAGGTGAAGCTTGTCACACATAGTTAGCCTAACGTGATTTACGTGAGGGGGTAGATGTAATAATTATACGAGAATGTAGATTTATTGTAATTTGATCATACCTCAGGGGTGTTTGTAATTTACCCTTTTTTTATTGAAATCTAAGACCACTTACCTGATTATTTAGTTGTTTTAACATTATATATAAAGAGTGACATTGAAAAGTTCAAATTCTAATAAAGGTGTTCCCTCTCTTTTAAGGAAATTCAAATTTTAGGTTGTTGGCTTATTATTATGGCCGAACTACCACATTTATTTAAAAATTCAATATGCTATAGAGAGAGATCAAATAAAAGCTACACAATTTATGATACCTACAAAATCTTGTAAAGTTGTTAAAGAAACGTACTTATGAATAGGGATGACAACTTTAATACTCCCCTCCTTAATTCACCGGGTAATTCTTCCCCATTAGTTATCGGGTTAGGTATGTGTTTTAATTATTTTTCAACTCCTTGAGTAAGGTTAAATTACGAAAAGGCCCTCTTGTTTAGGTAATTATCACTATCCCATCAACTGTTGAGGTAAATTTGACACAATAAAAGTTGACGTAATTCTCAAACATGAGGGATTTTTTTTCGTACTTTGACCTCGCCTTAAGGGGTGGCCTTAATTTACCCTAAAATATAATGCACGAGTTTCTAATATTTAAAAAAATTATAACCGATAAAGTAAAAAAATTGGTTTCGTGAGATATTGGGCTTTTTTTGGATATATTGGGCCAAAAGTTGAAAATAAATGATCCAATGGAATATTTGGTCTTTATGACAAGCTTACTACAAGAGCCCAATAATAATAATAATAATAATAATAATAATAATAATAATAATAATAATAATAATAATAATAATAATAATAATAATAATAGATCAATTTTGCACAATTATTACATGCTGGAAAGCAAAAACACTGAACTGGCTGTAGTTTCCACATGTGTATAGAGAAAGATCATTGATCATAAAGTCATATGCAAGACAGATAACAAAGATTCTTACACTTGGTGTTATAATAATTATTGTTCTTCTAATTCAAAATATTTCTGGAAAAAAATAATTAAATACCAAAATAATTAAATTAATAAACTTTTTAACCAGCCATATATAACGGAAATATTAACCTTTGTAATAATTAATTGACTCATTTTCTTACAATCCTATATAAAAAAAAAATTTAATAAATAACAGAAATTGGACCCAAATTATAAGAATTTACAGATTTACCCCCCATAATTTCTTGAGTTGCTTGGATGGTGATGATGATCATCAAGGGTATTTCTGGAAATTCACTCCTCAGCAAGCTTGAAGATCTGCGAATCCGACTTTTATTGTAAAAAGGTTTCCTTTATTAAAAGATGGTAAGAAAAAGCAAAGTGGTAATAATTGTGAGGAAAGCTGATCGAATTTTCTTCAATGGCGGTGGAGAATTTGATGATGGTGGAGGGATATGGTAGTAGTAAGGGAAGTAAGGCACAATTGGGTTCGGCGGCGGCGGCGCCGCCCCGGTGGGGTAAATCTGGGGCGGTTGGTAGTTTCCGCCGCCGCCGGCAGGAGGTGGCGGTGAGTAGTAACCGTAGTAAGGTGTTTGCGGCGGCGGTGGTGGTGAGTTGTAGTTGGTGGTGCCGCCGCCTGAGCTAGGTGGAGACGGTGGTGGGGGGCATAGAGTGGCGGCGGCGGGAGGCGGAGACGGCGGCGGTGGCGACGGCGTGTTGCATGGGTTGTCGCAAGCTGAGCACATTGTGCAATCAATCTGGTACTTGGATCCGACCCAGGTGGTGGTTGCCGGAGTAGTGACGTCATCATCGGCAGATGCTAAAAGCTCAATTCTTGATGCAATTACCATCACTATGAAGAACAAGAATTTTAGCCTTTGATCATAATTTCTCTCCATTTCTTGAGCCTGCAGTGAATAATTGTACAGATTTAATATGATTCTGAAATTGAAGAGGAAATTTTCTAGAAAATGAAAAGTGGGAGGAGAAAAAAGTAGTGTGTGTGTGTGTGTCTTTATGAAAGTTAAAAGTGCTAATTAAAGTGGAATTTTATAAATTTAAAGATTTTCTATCTTTTT